TAAAAAACTGACTCTTGCTAATAGTTAAAAATAAATTATAAACCAAAAACCATGCCAAGTATATGCATTACCTCCCACAGTCTTTTCAACAGTATAATGTAGATACTTTCACAAGAAAATGGAGACTCAAAGAAGTAAAATAACTTACTAAAAATAATCTGGGAGAGTTAAGTTTGGAATCCACATCTGTCTGACTAGAGAACCTAAAGTCCTACCCACCACATCTGGATTCCCCACCCCTGGGCCACAGACCAGTACTATCCATGGCCTGTTAGGCTGCACAACAGGAGGTGGGCAGCGGGCCAGCAGGCACTACCACCTGAACTCCACTTCCTGTCAGACCAGCAGTGGCATTAGATTCTCATAGGAGCACAAATACTATTGTGAACTGCTCATGCAAGGGATCTAGGCTGTGTGCTCCTTATGAAAATCCAATGACTGATGATCTGAGCTGGAACAGTTTCATCCCAAAACCATTCCCGAGCCCCCACCCTGGTCCATGAAAAAACTGTCTTCCACAAAGCTGGTCCCTGGTGCCAAAAGGTTGGGGACTACTGTACTACATAACAGTAACTTCATTTTCTATGCTAATTTCTTGATAGATAATAGAACTAAAGATTCATAACTTGACTCCTAATTATACTAGATACTCTGCACACAAGCCAAAGCCATTTTCACTAAGCAGTGATTCAAAAGAAGTTTTAAAAGATAATTCGCCAAGTAGAGATGTGAAATTTAGTGTCAAAAAAGCATTATTCAAACTGCAGTATATATGAATCAAAGTGCTTCTGTGGCCTTTTGCCCTATTTAAATCTATAATCTGATTACGAATGCAATCAAATTGCTATGTAGTACCCATCACTTCATTTGCCACAGAGTTAGTTTTAGGTCAACATATGGAATAAAACTGGATAGAAATGAGAGAAGACTATGACTATTAGACTACAATTAAAGTTGCTAGCATCTTGGAAGACAAGTAGTAAACAAAATACCTGTGACAAACCAGAAAGATAATCTATCAAAAAAAAAAATTAAATTCAATCAAATGTGGTTTTTTTTTGTTTTTTTTCCCTTGAGGCCGGGTCTCACTGTCACCCAGGCTGGAGTGCAGTGGAGTGATCACAGCTCACCGTAAACTCAAACTCCTAGGCTCAAGAGATCCCCCTGCCTCAGCCTCCTGAGTAGGTGGGACTACAGGGACATGCCACCACACTTGGCTAATTTTTATTTTTGTAGGGATAGGGTCTTGCTCTGTTGCCCAGGCTAGTCTCAAATTCCTGACCTCAACGATCTTTCCACCTTGGCCTTCCAAAGCACTGGATTACAGGCACGAATCACTGCACCCAGCCTAAATGTTTATGTATTATAATTTAGTACTGACCACTTTCCACACACCAAACACTGTGGTAGGCATTGAGATTACAGAGATAAAACAGTGAAATAAATGCTACAGTACACACAGGTATGCACAAAATATCATGGCACCTAGCTTGAGGGGCAATAGGAGAAACCGGTTTAAAAAAAAAAAAAAAAAGGGTTAGAGAGAACTTCCTTTTGAAGAAAGCATTTAAAGCATCTGAGCCAAGTCTTAAAGGATACATAGGAAATGAGACAAATGAAGAAAGGTAAGGAACAAGATAAAGTCACAGAAGCAAGAAAGCACAGTCCATTTAGAGAATTGAAAAAGTTTAACTTAAGATATACATAGGGCAAATGTTGGAAAATGAGGCTAAAGTGAGAAATAAGGTCTACATAAAGCGTCTTCATGTGGGTGAATTTTATCTAGAAAGTCACTGACAGAGGTTAAACACGGTGCGACATGAAAAACAGTAATCTAGGTTAATAAAAAACCAAGGTCCTATACTAAGACAGTGACCGTGAAAATGAAGAATGGAGCAAACACGAAAATGTTATGGAAACAGACACAGAGAATGAGGGAAAGGGAAACATTAAGATGACAGGCAAGTTCCTAGTATCATTACCTAAGTGGACACTGATGCTGTGACTGAAGAGATAGAGGGTACTTACTATGGTGATACCTCAAAGTAATAAGTAACTCCCATCTTTCATGTATTAAAGAAAAGCTTTCAGGAGGAAGCGATAACTACTGTGGGACTTAAAAGACTAACAGAAATTAAGACAATGGGTGAGAGTCTGAATGTTGACAGTGAAGTAGAAGTACTGAATGATGGCAACAATGAGGCCAGAGAAGGAAGAAGTAGCCACATCAAAAGTGCTTTATAAGCCATATTAGGACTTTTGGGTTATATCATTCAAGTATTGGAGAGCTTTGTTAGGGTTATAAGGAAGATAATGAAAGGATCACGTTTTTATTTCAGAAAAATGACTGTACGACATGAAAATAGACTGCAGGAAGAAACCAAAATTGAAATGGGACGAGGGAGAGATTATAAAAATAACCCAAGTAAAAGATAGCATTAACTTGAGTTAGAATGAATGGTGTTAGTGGGAACTTACATAAAGGATGAGTGGATACATCTGCTATCTAGCAGGACTGGGTATCTACAGGGTAGAGTTAAAGTGAACACACACTTTCCTTTTTTTTTTCTTTTAAAGAAATAGAGACAAAGTTACACTACGTTGAGAGGCTGGTCTCAAACTCCTGGACTCAAGCGATCCTCCCACTGCAGCCTTCCAAAGCACTGGGATGATGGTGTGAGACACCCCATCTTTCTTTTAATATAACCACCCACCAACCCAGTCATTCACCTGTGTTTTTGTTTTTTCTTAAACAAATTTACTAACTTACAAAAAGTACAGTTCTTTTTAAAAATTAATGATAGTCAAAACGTTCTAATTGTAACTTATAACAGCTCAAGAAAATTAAGAAAGGCTTTAAGAAGAAAGTACATTTTGAGATGAACTTTGAAAGATTAATATTATCACCATTTAATCACTAATAGATTAAGAAAAAATCAACAAAATCTGGCCAGGTGCAGTGGCTCATGCCTGTGATCCCAGCACTTTGGGAAGCCAAGGCAAAGAGGATGGCTTGAGCCCAGGAGTTCAAGACAAGCCTGGACAACATGGGGAGACTCATCTCTTCAAAAAATAAAAAATAAAATAAAATAAAATCTGTACTTAAAATGTTAAAGGTGACAACTACAATTCTTACATGTGAGAGGATGGTAGTGCCACTCACAGAACACAGAAAAGGGGCAAGGTGTGCCTGTATAAAGACAGACTGAATGGGAAAGATAACAGTAAATACAAGGTTTTGTTTGTTTTTAGTAAATATAGTTTTGAACAGGCTGCATTAGAAGTTCCTGTGAGACATTTAAGTACTGACAGCAACTAAGCAGGATATGATATTCAAGACTGAGAAAGAATTATCTGATACTCAACAGAGAAAAGTGGGCTTGAGATGGTAATTTTGATGTCAGCAGGATGTACATGGTAACTGAAACCCTAAGAGTAGATACTACTCAAGGAGAATACGCAGAGTGAGAAATGTGATGGCCTAGAACATATCCCTACAAGTCATCTACATTTTACAGACTGGTAAGTAAACAATGCCCATAGAAAGATACTGAGAAGATGCAGCTGGATGAGTTAAAATGGAAATTGAGTATCTTAAAAACTAAAAGAGTCTTTTTGGAAAAAAATAAGTCAACAATATTCAATGCTGCCACGTAAGTTAAAGACCCAAATGTTACAACATTTAGCCTCAGGAAGATAATCAAGAACAATTTCAGTTAAGAAAGGGGGACTGGAAGACAAGGCAGAAGAGACTACAAGGACAGGCAACTCTTTCAAGAAGCCTAGTTATGAATAGGACAGACAGAATATAGAGACTAAAGGGATTTGTAATTGAGGGAGAGTTTTTTAATGGTTTTGCTTACATGTTTTCCGAACAGAAGTTAACAAGTAGAGCACAAAGGAGGTATCAACAGAAGAGGTTCCTGATACAGTTGCGGATGGGATTCAAAGCATGGATGACAGACCATCTTTCAATAGAGGAGAAACAAATATATGACACACAAGACATTAGAGGGTGTATGTATTTTCTCTTTTTTTGAGACAAAGTCTCACTCTTGTCCCCCAGGCTAAAGTGCAATGGCACTTTGGCTCACTGCAACCTCCGCCTCCCGGGTTCAAGCAATTCTCCTGCCTCAGCCTCCTGTGTAGCTGGACTTACAAGTGTCTGACACCATGCCCGGCTAATTTTTGTATTTTTAGTAGAGACGGGGTTTCGTCGTGTTGGCCAGGCTGCTCTCAGAACTCCTGACCTCAGGTGATCCATCCACCTCGGCCTCCCAAAGTGCTGGGATTACAGGCATGAGCCACCATGCCCAGCCTATGTATTTTCTACTCACATGAGTTTACATAAGTTCTTCTAGAACAGAAAATTTATATAAGTTTGGATACATCTGTATATTGAAATTTTAACAATGGTGTTCTCTGTGAAATGAGATGATAGTCTATATTATTTTATTATTTTTGTCCTATTTTCCAAATTTTCTACAATAAGCATGTAACTTTTAAAAAATGTCTTTGTCCTTTAAGTTATAAAGTATAATTCATTAAGAAAGAAAATCCAGAAAATAAAGAAAAGCAGAAAGGGAAAAACAATACCTATAACCCACTAATGAACTGCTTTCACAGGTTGAGAAAATATATAAATGGCAGTTACATTACTTCATTCTCTCTGACAAAGGAATGTGAATGGAAACACTAAATTAGAATAATCCAAAACTTTCAATTGATTCTTAACTGATTCAGACACAGAGGAAAGGGTGAATTCTGGTAACCTCTTAGCTACCTAAGTCTCTGTTTTAAAAGAGAATTGTTAAATCTCTGCTTAAAAAGGTAGAATTCAGATATTTGGGGGTATTAATTTAGAGCTAAATTTTCAATACTGCCTTCCTTCCTGGTCATAATCAATTTTGCTAAGTATTAATTATAAATAACACCCACTAGTAACATTCATGCTCAATGGCAACAATTTTAAAAAAGAAAAATTTTAAATGGAGGCTTACAGTTGTGGTAAATTTGGTCTAACAAAGGGATCATTCTCTGCTCCATTGACTGCTTTGTTTTTCCTTTGTTTTGGTTCAGAATTCGTAGAGGGTGCCTGAGAATTATTAGCTGTGGGAGGTTTGCGTTTGGCTAGAAGTTTCCTTTGCCTTTCAATATCTTCCCTTTGCTGATTCACCCATTCTTGTTGCCTGTGTAAAAATAAACAAATAAAACCATATTAACCTTCCATTACTTTTCATGGTTAAATTGGAAAAAAATGCATAAAAAACATGAAAAACCATATAATATACATTTGTAACCTTCTGGTTCCACTCTTGTGAACCGACTTGTACTTATCTTTCAGGTCTCATGTGAAAGAATTTTTTTAAGTGAGGTGTTCTCTAAACCCCTAGAGTAGGGAAAGATGTGTTGCCATATATAATTTCATGGGACCTTCTATCTCCCCACCTCATCCTTTCTAATAAATATCATTCCTACAGATGCTCCATCAGAAAGTGTCCGGTTAGACGACATCATCCCCTAAGAACAGAGACGGTGTCTATTTATACAGTATCCTGTTGTATCCCTAGTACCTAGTGTAGTGATCACCACTTACCTGTTGCTCAATAAATGTTTCCTGAATGAAATAAATAAATGAGCTAAAACAAGCCCCCAAACTATTAAAGTATGGTGTACATGTTACACATGCGTCTCACCACAGTATTTGCAAACAAATTTACAAAAGGCAAATATGAGTTTAATATGAAGAGAGTTATTTTCTAAATCTACTTTTGTTAAAAAAAAAGAAATCGGGAATGAGAAGTTGGTGTTTTGAAATCAAACAGATTAACCTTAACATAAGAAATTTATGAGAAAAAAATTTTTCATAATTTAAGGGAAAAAAAGACAAGAAAATAGCAAGAAAACTTAGCACGGCTCTGAAAAATGGGAAAGTAACAAAAATAAAATTAATGCTTACCATTCAAGAATCTGAAACAATTTTGCAAATAGCTCCCTAATTCTAAAAACTAATAGATACCATGTTGATTATTAAAATGTAGATTAGATATTTTAGCAGTTTGAGCAGAGCATTAAGGAGTTAACAGTGAAACTTTTAAAACCCAACTTATCATACAACACCTTAAGCTTATTCTAACAGTAACCATGTTCTCTTTTAGGTCACCTCACTATGCCAATAAAAATTTTCAAATCCTATATGGTTGCGATACTTAGAGCAAGTCAAATATTTCATGCCCTCCTCTCCCCAACCATTGACACCAGAACTAAAGGGCTCCTACTTTGCTAATGCAGAATTGACCTTACACACATCCCCTTCCCTATGGTTTTAGTGATGAAGTAGCAGAATATGACAGGAGTGAAAAAAATCAAGAAGAACCTAGGTAGAAGATTAATAGAGAAAAATCTCAAGAATAGCAAAGTGAGAACAAGACTTTAATCCAGTTTTCATTTAGAGGCAGGAATAAATTTCAGTTTTTAATAACTAAATCTTAAGGCTATTTTAGGGCACCATCAGGATGGTATAAATGCAAATAAGCAGTAATAATCCTAATGATTAAAATACTAATGGAAAGAATTACTGGAATAGATATTAACAGCTGATTATTCAGGGATGACTATACAGTTTAGAGATTATTATTACTTTTTATTTATTTATTTCTCCTCTCATCTTCTAACCACTCTGGGTTATATCACCAATTATAAATGGCTTGATATAAACATAGTAGGTCTTCAATAAATGCTTATTAGTGAAAGTCAGGACATACAAGTAATTATTTTCTTTTTTAGTAGTTATTTTTTGAGACAGAATCTCACTCTGTCGCCCAGGCTGGAGGGCAGTGGCGTGATCTCAGCTCACTGCAGCCTCCACCTCCCAGATTCAAGCGATTCTTGTGCCTCAGCCTCCCGAGTAGCGGGGATTACAGGCGCACACCACCACTCTTGGCTAATTTTTGTATTTTCAGTACAGACGGGGTTTCACCCTGCTGGCCAAGCTGTTATCGAACTCTCAACCTCAGGTGATCCTCCCAACTCAGCCTCCCAAAGTGCTGGGATTACAGGCATGAGCCACTGCATCTGGCCTCTTTTTTGACAGTTAAGTGGAGAAATTGGAACTACTGGTAGAATTCATATTTCAGAACATTCATATTGATTATATAACCGTCTCTTTTATTCATTGCAGGGCAACTACAGGTCTGGGTTTAGTAGCAGAGCCTCTTGCTCATAAAACACTAAAAATTTACCTTCTGCTTTCTACTTTACTGTTGATATGTTAGTTCATGCTTTAATCACCTTTCATCTAGATATCCCTCCATCTTAACTACCAATAACATTCATCCTCTTTCTAATAATATTTTCACATTACCATCAATTATTCTACAACTATCACTGTAGATATCATTCTGATCACGTACACTATATGTAAACCTTTAACAAGTCCCATTATCTGCGGAATTGAAACCCAAACTCTCTAATATCACAAGTACTTTATCCTTTGTTTCACTGTGGTATAACTAGCACAGCTATGCTGAAGAAAAGTTGAATAAATCTGCTGAGAGAGAAGGCCATTCTGTGGCAAGTCCTAGGAGGCAGTGTTTGAACAGCAATGTTGGTGTGATAACAAGTGAAGAGAAAGTTTTGCCTCTATTTCAAATAACTGGATACTCTGGAAAAGCTGATGTTCATGCTAGCATTACTCCCGATTTTCAAGTTTAAAAACATTTTCCACCTCCCATCCCCAAAAAAGGAGTAGCATATTTAGCACTCTTTAACACATAAACAGCCAATCAATCCTTATCTACCACCATCTGAACTCAAGAAAATATGGTAACTATAATTTCTCTGTTTTAAAGTTTGATCTGAAATGCAACAGAAAACCAACCACCACATGTTCTCATGTATAAGTGGGAGCAAAACATTGGAGACACATGGACATAAAGATAAGAATGATAGAAACTGGGGGCCACAAAGATGAAGAAGGCAGAGGCGGGGCAAGGATCGAAAAACTATTGGGTACTATGCTCACTACCTAAGTGATGAGTTCAATTGTACCCCAAACTTCAGTATCAGGCAATATACCCTGTAACAACCTGCACATATATCCCCTGAATCTAAAAGTTGAAATTAAAATAAATAAATAATAAATAGAGTTTACCTCAGAAATGCTAAAGCCACATGTTCAGTTTAACTGATAAATGATTTACTATATCTGAGGCAAAAGAGAAGTTTTTTTCCTTAGGAATAGAAAGCAGGCAAGTGCTGAATATTAACACGTAAGGAATGGGGAATGGGAAAAAACTAAGTAGGAAAATCCTAGGAGATAAACACACACACACATCTTCCAGTGAAATTAAATTTTCAACAATTTCCCTCTCAAAATATTATCTGTAAAGCTAAGGGTTCAGTTAATATGTCGGAAAATCAGAGTTAGAATAACATATTATATTCCATAGACGAATGCTAATTAATCAAGAAATTACTAAGCTAAAACTATAATACTCTTGGTTTCATATCCCTTTCAAATGTACTAAATTCTATGATTTCAGAGTAGTGAGGAACTGGAGAGCACAATTACAAATCTACAATCTTTTAAAGCAATGAAAACTCAAAGGAATACTAAAAACTTTTAAATGTTAAGAATGACTAACTTCACAAGATTCTGAAATGCAAAACCATCTGTCCATTGTTCAGTAAATGAAGCGCCATGTCTAACTGTTGTAAAGTGCCCGAGGCGTAATCGATCTTGCATACTCTTCTCTCTGCTTGACAATTTTTCTTGTGTACTCTGAAAAAAGGAGAAAAAAAAAATCGTCACTCAATTTTATTCATTAATTTATAAAAGCATACAAAGCAAAAGCGGCTAATGAAGGGGAAGGGAAAATTTACTCAACTTTTAGCCTACCTTTTCAATAAGAAGTTTCTTGCTCATTGATATGCACTTATTTAATCGTTCTTTGTATTTTTCAAGTAATTTTTGTTGTTCATCTATTTGCCGTCTGAGATCACAGTTAGCCTATGACATAAGTAGAAAATGCAAAAGGTCTAGATTGGGGAGTATGAAAAGCTTAGAAATATTATTAATGTTCTAAATAAATTGTATACAGATAGGAATAATAATATTAAATATCTGAGTATGATACAAGAAAAAAAAAAGCCTACTTAGCCATGAGATAATACTGTTAAATGTTACTTAAGCGTACAGTGGAAAGTACATACAGGGAAGTTTGTATCCATATCCATCGCATTCAAATCCATACTCTAAGGTTAACTTTGGCTAAGTTACAAGAACCTTAGTTCAGCTTTCTTATTTCTAAATAGAAGCAACACAATCTACCTCACTTTGTTAAAAATAACTAAAATATGGTATATAAAGTATCTATCACTTAAAAATAAATGTGTTTTCCTCTATCTCATAATTAACAAATTAAATGTGAGTTTTCCTCTATCTCTTATAACAAAATATTTTCTCCACTGAACTTATAAATGACATACACAAGTTGCCTACCCAACAGCTGTCCTCACCACTCTTCCTTAGCAATAGGATACTAATTCTGTTCACTCTGTAGGTGGCCATATGCTCAGAAAAGAGGCCTCTCTCTAACATCAAAAGATAAGCCTGATTAGTACAGTGGCAAGAGAATAACCTATAGGGCTTGTTACAACAGATTACTGGGAACCATTCCCAGAGCTTCTGAATCGGGTCTCCGTTAGGACTTTTCTATTTTCATTTGTTGTCCGTTCTTGTTTCTTTTTGGTGGTCCTGGTCTGTTGCTGATTGTTTGAGAATCTAAATTTTTTGTTTTCGCTTTTTGTTTGCTTCAGGTCTGTGTCCAGTATTTTGTCTGTGTTGAGAGGACTTAATTGTTGTTGTAATGTTAGGTAGTCGGTATTGTTGTTTTTGAGGGTTGTGGGCTCGGGATTTAGGGCCCTTTGAGTTTTATTCTTTCCTCCTCAATTTCGACTTTGTGTTTATTGTGTTTATGCATTTTTGCCTCTTGTTCTATTATTTCTCTAGGTCTGTGTTGGGCCGGTCTTAGCGAAAATTTCGAAGAGTTTCACTGTGTGTTATTTTTTATTTTTGGGCTTCATTTTTATCATCTGTCAAGTGCCCTTTTTCTTTGTTTTTTGCCTTTTTTTGTTTTTTTTTTGATTGCTTTTTTGCTAGCGTATTTAGTACAGTTTGCATGTTCTCTTGCTGTGAATGTTGGTTTATTTTTTGTAGGCAGAAGTTGTTCCATGTGGTATTCAAGCTCTGTTCTCATCGAGTTGTTCTTCTTGTTGTGTGCTGTGCTGCTCCGTCCTTTTTTTTGGTTCGCAGGCGGATATTATTGTTTTGGGCCTAGTAGATATTTCTCATTTTGTTTTGTTCTTTGTCGTCTCTGCTTTTGTGTCCCCGTGCCCCGGTCCTTTTTGCTACTGTGTAGTAATCCTCTTTTTGGTGGGGTCTTGTTTTGTTTTCTTGAAATATTAGCTTGTCTCTCGTTTGTCGGCTTTTTATTTCTGTTCTCTGTTACTCACGTGCCATTTCAATTGATACATGTTGTTTTTTCAACGTTGCTGTTAAGATTCTGTTGTTGTTGTGTAGTTCCTCTGGGGGTGTAGGTTAGTGTGCTCTTGATCATTTCCTTTTTTATTCTTTTCTTTTGGAGCCCAGATTTTGTGTTGCTAGCGTTTTCATTATGCGACTTCGTTTTTCCTTGGGTTTTTGTGTTCTTTTTTTTATCCATATAGCCTGGCATTGAATTTAGCCCACATTATGCCTTCCCGAGACTTTTTTTTATTTGGATTGATCGTTTCTTTTGCAAGGTTTGTTGGTTATTGTTGTTCGTGCGTGTCTTCCCTGCACTTTGGGGGGCGGTGTTTGGTGGTTCGCTTGTGGTTTGGTTTTGATTTTCCGCCTGCAGGCTCGCAGTTCGTGGTGGATTTAAAAAAAATCAGCCCGGAGTGATGGCACAAGCCTGTAGTCCTAGCTACTCAGGAGCCTGAGGGACAAATATTGCTTAAACCCGGGAGTTTAAGGTTACAGTGAGCTATGATCCCCCACTGTGCTCTAGCCCGGGTGACAGAGTGTCACTTAGGGGGGAAAAAAATGACCAGACTAAAAAACTTTGAGAAATAACTGCTATTACACAGTAAAATGGAAAATGCATACGCCCTGTACTCTGGCTATGTCTTTCCTAAACATATACCATAGAAAAATTCTTTCATATTTGCCCTGAAGACACGTACAAAGAATGTTCTCAGAACTGTTTATATTAGAAAAAGTAGAAATAAAATGTCAACTAAAAGCAGAAAAGATACAGAAATTATGGTATACTCAAAACGCCTTACAATACTGCAGTGAAATGAACAAACTACAGTTACACTCATCAAAGTGGACGACTCTCTGATATATAACGTTCAGTGAAAACAAGCTGGGCAAAAGGGTCCATACCGGAAAATTTCACTTAACGTTCAAAAACCAAATGAAATAATATATTGTAAAGAATGTAAGCACATATTTAATACAACCATAAAGAAACACCAAGGCATGACAAACACAAAATTTAAAATAGTGGTTAAATGGTAAATGGATGTGAGAAAGTAAATATGACAGGATCAGGAAAAAGACACACTGGATGTTTTAAAGGTACTGACAAACACAGTAGGATCACAGGTGTTGGTTTTATTAAGTTTCTATACCAGTAGTTCTCAATGCTGGCTTACATTAGAATTATCCAGGAGAGCCTTTAAAACTACCAATGTCCAAGCCCACATCATGTCATCAACTTGATCAGAACCCCTCAGGGTAGAGTTCAGGCATTAGTACTTTCACCCTTCCCAACTGGTGAGTCTAAGGAGCATCAAGGGTAAGAACTGCTGCTTTAAACCCTTACATTATAAGTATACTTCTAGATGTATTTTTAAATAAAGCTTCCATTAAAAATCCTTCAGAACTGCAGCAGTTACTTCATCCTATCGGTATCAGATGTCAGGCATATAGTAAAATCAAAAACTTTAACATGAAATGGCTATTTGTGTTACGGTTGTTGGTCACATAAATGTTATTAACTTCCTTCCAGTTCTCCAACAGTTTCTCAATTCCCAATTTACTGAAGATCTAATAAAATATTTCACTTTAAAATTGGTATTTTCAATCATGTACTTAAATTAACAGAAAAAGCTTATTGAGTTCTAGTTACAGTATTTTTTTTTCTGAGACAGTCTCACTCTGTCGCCAGGCAGGAGTGCAGTGGTGCGATCTCAACTCACTGCAACCTCCACCCCCCAGATTCAAGCGATTCTCTTGCCTCAGCCTCCCAAGTAGCTGGGACTACAGGGATGCGCCACCACGCCCAGCTAATTTTTGTATTTTTAGTAGAGACGGGGTTTCACCATGTTGGCCAGGATGCTCTCGATCTCTTGACCTTGTGATCCGCCCACCTCGACCTCCCAAAGTGCTGGGATTACAGGCATGAGCCACCGCGCCCAGCCTAGCTACAGATTTTTTTTTGCAATGCTAAGTATTTTCTGAACAGTTTGACTGTTGCCAAATAATTTATTCAATTTTTTTCCCCTCTATGACTCATTACTTACCCTGAGCAAATCATCTATACGTCCCTCCTTCTTTTCCAGGTCCTGGATTTTATTACTTTCTAATGCTGCTAATTTCAGCATTGTGAGATCAGTCTAAATGAAAAAAGTTATTTTATTATCTCCATTATATATGTTGTTTCAAGCAAACACAAAACCAGACTTTACTCCAAATTCAAAAGGTAAAGAAAAATATATTTGTGTGCATATGTAAAGTGAATCTCAAAAAGTTTTAGTGCAGTTTTAATAACTTCAAGTGTATAAACGCTACAGACTTACCAAGAAACATCTAGAAAGGTCAATTACTTAGAATATTGATGTACCACATTACAATTCAATATATCCGCTGCTTTGTGCTATACGTTCCTCTAGCTGATTTTTTTGAATTTTGCAAAACCTGTTTTAAATTGATAAGTAAAAACCTATCTATTTATGGTATACAACACAATGTTTTGATATATGTTTACATTGTGGAATGGCTAAATCAAGTTATTTAACACATATCTTTTTTTCGTGGTGTGAACACTTAAAATCTACTCTCTTAGCAGTTTTCATATACACAAAATACTGTTTTTAACTGTAGCCCTCATGATGTATAATAGTTCCCTTGAACTTATTCTAACTAAAATTTTATGTCCTTTGACCAACATCTCATGCAGCAAAACCTTTCATGATCTACTCAGTGGATGAAGGAATGTACTTGTAATCCTAGCCTGAGGATCATCCAAAGAAAGAGGTTTTGATACATGCACAACAGTTTGGATATGACCTCACAAATAATATCTAATGGAAATAAACTGGCAAGCTGAGGTTGAAGAGTAACATTTACTCTACTCTCCCAAACCCCAGTCTGAGAAAGTGCCATTCAGAAACTACCACACGTAAAAAATTAAAATGAAGAACTTAGTGCTCAAAATTCATGAAACTAAGTGTAGAAAATATACAAATAATTCAAATAATTTTTATAGTTTGTCACATATATGTATTTACATACATACAGTCAAATGAGCGGCTTTAATGTACACTTACAAAAAATACAGCAGTTTCACAATATATCAGTTACATATACTTGGAAATTAAGTTCAGAAAGAATCAGTAAACAGAAGTGACATGTTATGGTTGTTTAAAAAGCTGACAGTAAATTGTGTGTTTCAGTTTCTCACTCCTTCCTACAAATTCCGTTGTTTTTGTTTAGTAATTACTGTTATCTTTCTTGATGTGTAATTCTGCTTTATGACTACATATAAAACAAACAGACATCTCAGTTGTTAGTAAGTTAGACAATGGTTTCTTAGAAGCCATGGGAAAAAAACATTTTAATTATCATTTACCTGAATAATTTTAAAGGATAACTGCTTTGGTTGTACAATAGGGTGGTCCCCAAATGCTAATGCAGTAGGAGAAGGGCTATTCGGTCGAACCTAAAAAAATTATTAAAAATTTTATATTAGCAAAAAAAAAAACCAAAAAAAACAGGTTTCTAATTAGCAACAATTACTTAACATTTCTGCAGAAGTTTCTATCAGAATAATACCTACATTGAAACATAATTGACTTTTAGAAACCTTTAATCACCATTTATTCAACAAGCATTCATTAAGTACCTCCTACATAAGACCCAGTGAGAAATACAATATATTCCCTGCCCTCATGGAGCTTACATTCTAGTGCCATAAAAGAAATCTTAATGCTTTCATACTGTTTTTTAAAAAAAAAAAAAAGGCCAAATACATTATTCTGGAAAATATTAAAAATTTATTATGATAGTTCAAAAAACAAACTTAGTACTAGGGACAATAATACATGCCCTTAAGTAGTTTAATATCAATTTATTAATGAATTTCATAGTTTATCTGGTCACTAGTTCAAAAATACACTCACTAAAAGCAGATTATAACATTGTATCAACGCTATCACTACAACTCTTAAAGTTACTGTTGAATCTTATGCCTTACTTTATACACAGCAATGTGATATCCTCAAAGGTACAAAATGAGTAAGACACAACCAAGTATGTCTAAAGACAAGGACAAGAAGGGGACACAAGAAATAAAAACAAGGTGCTTGAATAAATAAGTGAAACTCTGATTCTTTAAATTACTGAAAACCAATATTGTTTTCCTAGTTAGATACTGAACTTTCACACAATGAAAGTAAATTTAAAAATGAAATCCAATATGCAAAACAATGCATATAAAAGAACTATATCTAAAACGTTAGCAATAAACCAAAAAGTTTAAGATAATTTTAAGTTCGTGATTCTTTATCTATACTAAACTACATATCCTGCCTTTTTCTTAAGGATTCCCAGAAAGGAATTATGCTATAATTTTAGTGGTTAAGAAATTCAATTGTTAAGAAAGTTATAAATTAGGAATCAACAACTGAATACAGACTGATACAAGAGTACTCATGTTAGTCCCACAGACTCAACAGGCATTCTTTTAACAGAAACAATGCTTCTTGGATATAATTAATTCAGAAAATCTTTAAGAGGCTCACTTCCAGAAATAAAATTCCAATAGCACCAGATAATTTAAAAGGATTTAATTCATGTCACAGAAATAATGTATTAAAAGATAAATGCTAACTTATTTAAGTTCTCAATAAAAAACAACAAATTATAAAACTTATTCAATATACATAACCTCCCAAAGACTATGCCTGAAAAACTTGAAAGATGACTTACAGATGAGGAAGGAGTGGAATGTGAATGTGAATTTTGAGGAGAACGGATTGCAGGAGGTATGCCTCTTACTGGACTTGAGCCATTTCCACCCTGGTACTGAGTAAAAGAAAAAGGAAACATTATTATTTACCAAAGCAGGCTCAGACAGTTGTTATTTCAGATATGACATTAAGAATTAATCTAAATATACCTAATTTTAAAATAAGTAGTCATTTAAACGGATCCAGAACAAAAAAAAACTAAGGTCAGCCAAGTCCTAAAAGACTGAGAGACTACTGATCACAAGAACATGACAAAGATTATTACTCTATATTCTTACTATAATCTCGTATTTTGGTCAACTCAAAGACAAATAAATTCCTCCAAAGCAATAAACATATTTTGTTTTCCTCCCAAATCTTAGCACAGGTTCCCTACAAATGTTTAATGAGCCATATAGTCCCTAATCCCAACAAATTCCAAAATGTCTACACATAGACCTTAGTGAACATCATCAACTATTTTAAACAGAATATCGGTCTCAAGATATCCAAGTGTTCATGGCACTATATAAAAAGAATTATAATAGGTCCCTTCCCTCTAACAGCACAAAATCCTTAAAAAATCAATTCTTCTGTACAAAGTGCATGACTCAGCTGCATATGAAGGGAAGTCAACTGATCTGTTCCATAGCTACCTTTTCTCCTATTTCAAGTTTCCATACGAAGGATGGGAAAAGAAAGTAACTTGCTGCTGCAAAGTTCCTCTGGGGGTGTAGATTACTGTCCACTTCATCATTTCCTGTTTAATTACTTACATGAACAGCACAGATGGGGACTTCCTAGCATGTTCATTAAACAACTTCCTACAATCTAGGGATTTTGCCTTATTTATTTTACCAATAGAGCCTAGCATAAAATTTAGCACACAGTAGGCATTCAAGAGACATTTGTTTATTTGAATTGATCGTACCTTTGGCAAAGGTTCTTAATTAATGATATCAGTAAGTGACTGACCTCAACCAAAAAGCAAGGTATCTCATGGTCAGCAACTGCTTTACTTTAGATTTTACAAACCCAAGAAAGCAAGCAGTGGTGGATTTAAAAAAAATCAGCCCTTCCCTTAATCAGCCAATTCTGCTCTCTCAAGTAAATATAAATATTTTTCAACTGAGTAGACCATGTTTGTTGTTTTAATAATTATCCTTAAAAATTTTCTAATTTAAAACGGTAGCCAAAAGTGTTTCTATATAGAAGCAAGGCAACATTCCAGATTGGGTAAGAATCTAAATTTATTGTTTTCGCATTCTCTTAGATTCAAGCCTCTATCAAATACTTAATCTCCATCCACAGGACTCAAATGTTGTTGTAATGTGACGAAGTCGGTATTGATAGTAGAGAGAATTCTGAGCTAGAGAGCCAGGGAACTTTAAGTTCTATTCTTTACTCCTCAATTCAGAATTTGCCTTAAATGGGTTAACCCATTGATGCCTAGTGTTCTATTATTGCTCAAGGTCACTGTTGCCAAGGTCTGACAGAAAAATTCAAAAAATTACAATGTAGGCTACTTTACATTTCTGGGCTTCAGTTTCATCATCTGTAAACTGAAACATTAATATGTATTTTGCCTATCTTACAGGTTATTATAAACAACTATGTGAGAAAGTATTTAGAAAACAATGAATGACATCCCAATGTAAATGTAAATATAATTTTCCTAGAAAGAAAAGATACCACATAGTAATAAAGCTCTGCTCTAATCAAGCAAGTAATCAAAAGGTGACCTGTGCTGCTAAGAAAATATTTTTAGCTCACAGCAGAATAGTACTGAATTAGGAAAAGGAGATAATCCTCAATGAACTTACTTCAAAATAGTCGCTAATTTTGTGGCCACGTCCCCCAATACTTTTTCCTAAAATATAAGAAGCCGCATGTTAGTAGGGTACTGATGGGCATCAAAAAAATATTAAAGAGTCCACAGGACATCAGCTATCAATTTCACAAATATGAAAATCAAGTGACATTTCAATAGAGACATGCCAATTTTTAAAAGTTCCAGTTACTGGAGAATCATACAAATAAATGATGTAAGTGATATCCTGTTTTAAAACTACATTATTAATACTGCTTAATAACTACTAATTTCAGAAAGGCAAATCAGTAAATAAAAAAGTAGCGATTGCATCACTGACAAACTAACCTTTACCTGTAAAATAAAACAGCTTTAATTATATAAACCATAACATGATTCCTGTCAAACTGACAGCAACACGCTTCAATAGGAATGTTATTTTGTAATTGTATTTTGATTTTCTAAAAACCATTCCCAAATTAAATACAATGTTTTTTAAAAACTAGATTGTAAATATTGCTCATATATGACCATACTGACAAAGTGAACTAGCTCATTAGAGATCATGCTATTTTTTAAATATTTTGCTCTAAAATGGATTCTTCATCAGTCCTTTAAGTCTTAATTTAAGAACATGCTAAGAAATATGGAGTTTACAGATGCTTTCTTAGGGGAGAAGTAGCCATCCTTGACTGGAACTATATAGAATACACGATTTCTTCAAGTTACAACTAGTTATATCACAAAGTCAAAAGCTTTCCTTAATATAAACATACATATATTTATCAATTCAATGCTGACTTACTTCATGCATTCATTTATTTTATTTAACAAATATTTCTTAAGTGGTTACTATGTGCCAGCCATTACTAAGATGAAAAACAGTATTCTTAAAAGTTCAACAACTTTAAATTTCTTCTTGGAACAAGGTGGGGCAAATTTTTAAAAACTAAACAAGTATTCAGGACTACCAATGCTACCTAGAAATTTTGAACATTAGTTCTGCACAGATTTATTTAGAGGTCAGAGATGACTGTAAAGGTCTTATGCTAAAGGAACTTCCCTTCTGTCTATAATAATTTCTCCGTAGACTGTAAAGAGGTGCTATATTTTAATGAAGACAGATGGTTTTGGTTGCCTACTCCAGAGGCTATTTCCCCAATTCTTTTTCCTTAATTGAATGAAAATTTTGTTCTGTTAACACCCTTCACCCTATGTGGCACATGTAACTTCAGAGGAAGCTGACTCCTACACAACTTCCACTTCCAGGTCCCCTTCTCTCCTTCTTATTAGAAATCCAATTTTGTTCAAGTATCATCCCTTCTCAATACAGGCTGTATGTTTAAGAACTTAACTCCATTTCCAGTTTCAAAGATGGGCCTGATTTTTTTTCTTTTCTTAAATTTCTGACACTATCCACCTAGAGATGGCCTCGTTTTTTTAAGGCAATACTACCTCTGTTGGTCATACTAGTTTTGGAATGGACATATGACCAATCTAGTCCATAAGATCAGTAGTTCCGCACCTTTTTGGTACCAGGGACCACTTTTGTGGAAGACAATTTATCCAAAGACCACGGGCAGTAGGGAAGATGGTTTTGGGATGAAACTGTTCCACCTCAGATTATCAGGCATTAGATTCTCATAAAGGAGTGCATAACTTGGATCCCTTGCATGTGCAGTTCACAATAGGGCTCACACTCCTATGAGAATCTAATGCCGCTGCTGATCTGACAGAAAGCAGAGCTCAGGCGATAATGCTCACTGGCCTGCTGCTCATCTCCTGCTGTACAACCTGGTTCCCAATAGGCCAAGGACTATAAGACCGGGAGTTTGGGGAACCCTGCAGAAGATGAGAGGAGAGGTCTGCTTTGGACTTGAAGTCAAGTTTACTCCAAAGGAAGGGGGGAAAAAACACTGAAAGCCAGACTAAAGCAAACATAAGTGAGGAAGGTGAAATGAGAAAAAACAATTTAGGCAACCATCCTAAAAACAAAAATAATCAGACAATTCTGCAGATGGCACACCACAAAGGGAAAAAACATGGTTAAACCAATCCAGAAGCCTCATCTTATTTGGGGGCTTGTTTTTGAGTTTTCAGAACAGTTGAAATCGTAGTAACTATTATATCTTTACAATAAAAAAAGCTCAAAGTCCACTAACTACAACTTGGGGGAGCTACACTAAGACCAAAAAGGAGCTCAGTGTAAACTGAGATATAAAATACAATACACCTCAGAAAAGGCACTAAAATGACTTACCCCTTCCTTCCACAAAGACAGTTGCTGCAAATATATTCCTTGCTTCCAGTGTGCCCTATATACACCAGTAATTCATGGGTTCACAGCTATAGATCTTATGGCTAAAGATTAGCTCCAACACATGTAACATTATGTATAAAGTCATCATTATACATGATTTAAGAGCCTAATTTATTATATTTAATTTTTGGTGCTCAAATTAAATGACAGTACTATTTTTCTACTCATTATAAGACATTTAGTTTAATGAAAATAATTTTCTTAGCTCATATCACAAAAGGTAGGTATGCAAGAAAGGATGGAAAGAAAAACAGATGCTTTAACTAGAGTCTCTCATAATTATTTTTATAGCCTTTTTTTTTTAAATAAAAAGGAGAAGTTTAAGTAGTTCTGTTAAAGTGAGATTGAAGCTTTTAATTCAAAAACAAGTCATTTCAAACAATACATACAAAGAATGAAAAATGAAAAGTCATAAGTTAATGCTTGCCAGATTTGGATATGATACTTGTCTTTCTAGGACCCAAATGAAAACAATAAGGGCAACTTTGAAAAGCCTCAAAGCAATAATCATACACTAACTACCTGTGCACACACCAAGATTTACAACTTCATATTATTTTACAACTAGAATATTAACTGGTTAAAAATTAAAACAATTAATTTTAAGTGTCTACTAGGCTCTGAAGGAAGATGTTGTGTGCTTACCCTGACTACTTTCATTCTGGTTTTCTGCTTTTCTCTTTCTTCCCCTGGATGATTCCGATTGTTTCTTCTCTGGTGTCTACAGAAAACAAGATAACAGATTTTTAAATGACAGGTTTAATATACAAAATTATCACAGTCAATATAAAACCACGTTTCAAGACCAAAAAAATAGCATTCAGTAGTGCTCAAGAGATGTTAATATACTGTTATTTATACACAATTTATTTAAAAGATAAAATTTCCTACTGTATAAATTTTTAAATTCCAAGTAAAGAAGATCTTGTACATGTTATCTGATATTCAGTTACAGAATTTGACATGAAGCGGATGAAAAATCCTAGAGTAATTAGCCTTGACAAGATGACCTTCCAATGCTTAACTGGATGAGGGGGGAAAAAGTCACCCTAGTGTTTCCTATTAGTTCCTATTAAGTTTTTCCTTAGTTTTCTCTACTCAAACATACTTAGTGCGTAAAAGTAAACTTGGATGAGAAAAAAAGGGGCAGAACACAAACCTGATACACACAATCCCTACTAAAAAGGACCATTCACTTAAATGCCTGGCAATTATCCAACAATTATAGCCAATTCACAGATTATGCCCTAGATAACGTATCAGTAAACTATGACCTGTGGGCCTAATCAGTTTGGTCACCTGTTTTGTATGATCGAACCAGTTTTTACACTTTTAAATGTTTGAAATTTTAAAAATTGAAAACAAAAAGATTATTTTGTGGTGTGAGAATTATAAGAAATTCAAGTTTCAGTATCCCTAATAAAATTTTATTGGAACACAGCCACACTCTTTCATTTAGGTATTGTCCATAGTTGCTTTTACATTACAACGGCAGAGCTGAGTAGCCACAACAGAGTCGGAATGGCCCATAAAGTCACAAATATCTGGCCTTGTACAAAAAAAGTTAAGAGATCCCTGCTCTAGATGGTGGCTCTGGTTCCAAATGACATGTGTGTTCCTATAACAGATAGCAAGTATTTTCATTAGACTAATACAAGTAATTTTTCTAGAGTTTGACAAACTTTCCTGCTTAGTCAAAAATTAAAACCAAGAGCAAAAGCACAAAGCAATGGCACCAGGCTTTCAAATTCTAGAAACTTCTAAGTACCTCTGGTGCCAGAAAAATTCCTGAACTTCACAGAAGCTCCATTAATATTTGATTGAATGAATGAATCTTACTAAACAACTTAAAATAAATCTCTTAAAGCATCATGGTCCCCCAACAAGGAAGGGATTCAATACATATTTTTATGTCTCTGAGTGTGCCTACAATTAAATATATGAATAACAATACACAGCCTAATTCTTACTGAACACATATTGTTCCTCTAAGTACCATCTTGAGTATTTAAAGTTTTCTCACCTCTATTTTGCCAACAAGGTAACAGATTCAGAGAAGTTGCACCGAATATTCATAGCCTCTGAATTCTTTAAAAACAGATGTTACATCTTCTCCCTACCTCACCCTCTTACCCTAATCCTAGCATACAGTTATTACTTGATAAATACATGAATGAATATTAACTAACTTACTCAAGGTAACACTACCAGTGTAGCAGAGCCAGGATTCAAATCAAATTCAGCTCTGTATAATTCTAAGACCTAAATGTTCTTTATTTTTTCTATGATATCCTACATCAAGAACTAACTAATCTACTATATAAAAACATTTCAAAATTTTAGTGTTTGTAAATAAAACTCAATATGTCCAATGAAATGCTGGTACGTTTTCACTTCACAAACCAGAAGTCTTAGAGAAATCCACCCTAACTGGCAATCTACTCAGGAGGCAGACTGATGCACCAGCAATTTTGGGTAGGCAGTTTACTACTTTCCTTTCATTGTCAAAATTACCAAACTCAAACAATAATCAATCTTCTGTTTTCCCAGAAATAAAAGTATCACTACATTAAAAATTATTTTAAGTTAACATTTATTAAAGAACCCTAAATCGGCCAGGCGCAGTGACTCACACCTGCAATCTCAGGACTTTGGGAGGCCGAGGCGGGCAAATCACGTGAGGTCAGGCGTTCGAGACCAGCCTGGCCAACATGGTGAAACCCTGTCTCTACTAAAAATATAAAACTTAGCCGGGCATCGTGGTGCGTGCCTGTAGTCCCAGCTACTCGGGAGGCTGAAGTGCAAGAATTGCTTGAACACAGGAGGTAGGGGTTGCAGTGAGCCAAGATCACACCACTGCACTCCAGTTTGGGTGATACAGTGAGACTCCATCTCAAAAACAAAAGAACCCCAAATCTATGTTAAAATAAAAGATCCCCAAATAATAATTTATTCATATCCTTGCTAACTTAATTTATATTAAAAAATGGAGTCAAGAAAACATAATTTTTCAGAATACTTTAAGGTTAATCTAATTTTTTAAGCATGGCAGGATCCTATTTGAATTCCATCTTACATCTTGACTAGGTACTCTTGAACAGGCAAAAATGGGGGGGGGGAACCCATACAAAATGTTATAATTCTGAAACAGTTATATTGGAAACAGCATTTTCTAGCTAGTAAACAAAATAAAATGTAAAGTTCAAAATGGTTCTGTACCATTTTCTAAAGTATATCCTAAGGAACTAGTGTTCAATGACTGGTTAAGAAGGCTATATTCTAAATGGGGGTGAAAGGGGGTGAGTTCAAATGGGGTAAACAAAATCAGATTTCAAAATGCTAACATGCATTGGCTATCTCCAAAAAAGGGATGAGGTGGGAAGATACAATACATTTTCAAAACTTATTTGAGATAACATTCGTTAAATACTTCACTGGATATGCACTTTAGGATATTTAAGGTTGTTTGTTATTTAACATATAGATTACTTAGTGTTTTGTTGTTTAACATATAGATTACTTAGTGAAGGTTTTTTCCTCTGAGGCCGAATTTCCCAGTGTGGAGGTATGGGACAGTCCATTGGGAAAAATGTCTTTTCATTAAACCAACCAAAAAGCAAACGAATGCATTATAATTATAGTAAAGAAAGCAACAAGTTTACCTCCTTTAAACCAGAGAAGAATTTATAGATGGAGAAGAAAAAGGACAACAGGACTAAAATTAATTTTAAGACTGCTGTGCCCCAGAAGTTATTAAAGGGGAAGGAGAAGGGAAGGAAATGAGTGGCTGAGTTAAGGTTCTAGCCTACCAGAGACATATTCTATGTTACCTCTACCGTGAATCTGCAAACACAGCATCTCCTATTTTAATATTGAGATTCCAGATGAGATTTCCTTCGAAAAAATAGTTCAGCAGCTTTAAAAAAATACTACTGATCATGACCAATGATTTCCTTGAGGAAATCCAAAGGACATCAACCAGGCCACGTATGTATTTGCTATATATACAATGTGCACATATCAAACATTTTATATAGAACATTTTCAAGATTGCTCTTGCTAATAATGCTGTCACTTCTTTCTTTTATTCTCTATTTTTTCTTAACTATCCTACTATAAATAGACCACTAAAGAAAAGATTAATATGGAAGGCAAAATAATAGGTTTGGCTTTGAAGTGAAGATGAAAAGAATGCAGTAATTATAAAAGGCCAAAGACCTCCAATATACAGTGAAACAGTCGTTAGGAGATAATGAAGAAAGGAGAGCCTAGTACACTTTAAATCAAGTTAGTTCTGTAAATGTTAGATTTGTAATCATATCAAAACCTGAATGACTACTCTGGCATTTAGATACTCCAAGATATTAGTGTGAATTTACACAGTATTTTCTACCAGTTGAACGTTTGTTGAAAAAACACAAAGACAAATTTAAAGGACTCAAGAGGTGTAGTGATATAATTTAACTAATCCTCCAATTTTATTTGGAACTTAGGTCAGTGATTATTAATCAAGGTTTTTATATCTAATCATGTGGCCTGCTGGTTTTATCTTATAATAAAATATGAATGAGTCTTTCTTCAATGTAAATAAGACTAAACATAAGAACACAGGAATCTCAATGCTGTTACAGAATGAGGGACAGAAATCAACATGAATTATTCCATGGAAACAGATAACCCCATGTATTAAGCCTCAAACTAGAGAGATATTTAAAATTATGGAAATAAATGCATTACAGAAAATTTAACAGTATACAAAAAGATATTTTAACAACAACAAAAAAAGAGAGGGTGGATATTAAAGTCTGTTCTTCATTGGGCCTAACTGAATAAACAACAAAAATCAGATATCATCATTTCTAATAAAATCACTATAGTTAATAGATACAGAATATTTCAATACTTTTTGTTAAACAAGAAAATACTTTAAAACAGAAAAAAAAGTTACTCTAATATTAAACAGTATCCTTACAAAATATTCAATCTTCAAACCTAACAGAATGAATTTTTTTCTGATAGATCCATTCGGCCAAAGACTGGTTTCAAAACTGCAACTCACTGGCTATTCTAATGATTCATACTTGGGTATCAAATTCAAAGCTATTATAATTTGAACAAATGGCATGACAAACCTTTTTGCTGGCAGCTGGTAAAACAATGTTCAATTTTTATCCACATTTCTAGGCAAAACTTGTTGAACTAGATGTGAGATAGGAAAATGCTTGCTGCTTTGTATCCTATTTACATTTAAATAAAACGTGTTCATGAATATGCACATCCGAATTCAAGGATGATTTTGAGCTGGTATGACCTGAAATTCACATAGTCTGTCTCTGTCCCAGAGTTAAAACTTTAATATTGATAACTATTATCTGTAAATATTTACTTGAACCTCTGACCTCTAAAAGAAGACCTCTATTATAATGCTGATTTTAATATTTAGTATAAAAAATTTATGTATGCAAAATTTTGGAATCCTATCATCAAATAAAAGCATTTCCTTGTAGTTCTAAGTAAATCAAAATCATCGCGTCAGCAATTTGGAGTTTAGTGTATTTTCTGCTGTACTGCCTTTATTGTTTAATAACGTGTAATATAAAAGATGGTAGAACACCAATAAGAAGAAATTGGGTAACCATCCAACTAAATAAAACATGTGCTGTCTTACAGGTATACTTAAAGTATGCCAGCTCATACATTTTCGTAAAATTTTTGTAAACG